TCGCCCTGAGAGTGATCAAGGTCGGTGTTATGTAGTCCTCTATTTCATACACGGAGACACCGAGCTGAGTCTGCCCCAGACGTCCTCAGGAGGAGAAGTCGACCAGTTTCCCTGCAGGCTTTAGACCAGGAGTGAAGAGTCAATGTCTGAGTGTCAGGGCAGTCAGTACCAGGGAAAACCACTCTCATAAGAGAGCTTAAAGGCTTTTGCTAAAGACAGAGAATAAGGAGGAGGGGGGGGAGGAGATGGAAGAAGAAGGACGGAAGAATAAATGAGATACAGAAAGAAGAAAAATGAGCAGGAAAGAAGTGGCTGTGGTAGGAAGTGAAATGTGTCACCAAGAGCTATGGGTATGGAAGACTAAATAAAGCAAACAGTGAACTCTGAGAGAGACACAGTAATCAAGGGGCTGAAAATTCAGAGCCACACACCTTATCCAGAACTTGATGATTCTGCCTCTTATTTCTATTAGACTATGCCTGTTCTAATATTAAAATGGGAGTCTCTGATGAGTAGAGAATCAAGATTCTATGATACACTGAATCACTGTTTACAAACATCTGATATAAAACTATGCTCTCTGCCCTGGCCGGTGTTGCTCATGGTTAGAGTATCTACCGAAACACCGAAGGGTCCCAGCTTCAATTTCTGGTCAAGAGCATGAACCTAGGTTTTAGGTTCGATCCTTGGCACTAGTGGGGTATGTGCAAGAGGCAACCAATCAATGTGTCTCTTTCACATGAATTTTTCTCTTTCTCTCTCTCTTCCTCCTCCTCCTCCCTTCCACTCTCTCTAAAAATCAATGGAAAAAATATCCTCCCGTGAGGATTAACAACAACATATACACTGAGTGGTCAGATTATTATAATCTAGAGGCCCGGTGCATGAATTTCTGGATGGGTGGGGTCCGGCCAGCCTGCCTGCTGGTGGAACTCCTGGTCGAGGGGACAATTTGCACATTAGCCTTTTATTATATAGGATATACACTGAGTGGCCAGATTAATATGCATTCAGAGATCATAATAATCTGGCCATTCAGTATATAATATGTGCATACTTTCTAACTATATATATTCAAACAAACACTGTGCCTAAAGGTGGTCTTGGTCATATCATTTAAAACTATTCTGTATTTACATCTATTCCAACTCTTACATATCTTCATGTTTTCAGGGCCAGAAGAAAATCCAAGAGATTAGCTACGTACAAGGCTATAGTTATCCCAGCTCTTTTTGGACAAGGCACAGCTACAAGGAAAGGGATTTACATTTTCATGAACTTGACCCTCTCCTAAACCTCGCTCAGTTCTATACCATGTTGTGGCTGCACTAAAGTCCCCTGGTATCTCTGGCATATCGGAAGAACAATGATCTCTGCTTACTCTCAAGAAACTGCGAGAAGATGAATTCACTAAATAATTTTTAAGTCATTTTAAGTAGGAAAAACCTGACACTAATGAGATATGAACTGCTGGAGTTACAGCATTTACTTCATCAAGGAAATACCACCTGCTGACCTTGGATGTGTGTATGTGTGTGTGCGCGCGCGCGCGTGCACACACAAACCTCCAGTAACTACCTACACTGTCACTTTCTCAGACCCTAAGAGAGTACACAGGCTACCATGGAAACAAGTTTCCACTCAGCTGGCCTGTAGCTGTCTTAGCCAGGTTACCTTTAAATATTGGGACTTTAGGGAAAAAACAATTTCACCTTTTTATTACATATGGTCTTTTCATTGCTTTCCTTATTATTACAGTTTTTAAAGCACAGCAGTTCCCTAAAGATTTAAAGTCCATATGTCAAAAAACAATCATTACTTTTGATGCAATCGTTTCCAATGGCTTAATTATTTATTGCACGGCAGTTTTATCTGGAGCATGGAAGTTGAAGGTGAGACAGATTCCCCTATCTCTGATTAAATGCCCTGAAAGGGGCGTTGAGAGGTGCCCAAATATGTCCTCAAGAGAACTAAAGTGCCGGAGAACACTCCTGGTATTCATGAATAAAGTCTGGAGTGCAAGCAGGGAAGTGCAACTTAAGTCTCACCTTAGCTGCACTACATTTTCAAACTTAGCACAATGTGGGTAAAACTACAAGGCACTCGGTTAAAAAATAAAATTAGAGGTTCCTTGGAAGACTATGGGAAATGAAAATCACGCTATCCACCTTCATTCCCCTTTCTTTTGCACAGCGAAGCTCCCTGGTCCAGCATCCCCCCACCAGGGTAGATTTCTGAACTCATGGAAAAAGCCCCAGGTTTCCTCTGAGCTCAGCTCTGAACCAAGTCTATTAAGAAAGTGAAGGGGGAGGGGCATTCATTAGAGACATGCTTTGCTCATTGTTCAAACTGTACCACATCCAAATGTTCTCAGAGTGAGTCCCTCTCCACCCACCCCTTTTCTAAGTTTGAGAGCAGGTAAGTGTACATTTTACCAAAAATAACGCAGGGTTACCATGAAACATGTGTCCAAGGCACTTTAGAAATCAAGATGACCCTTTGGTGGCACTTTAAGATCCCAGGAATGGAAGTCACAACTCCTGACCTCTTCCCTCACCCCAACTCCCAGGGACCGTATCAGCGGGCACGACTGTTGTCAGGGACAGTCTTTCCTAGAATTGCTGACCAAGGAGCCTATCTGCTGCTCTAGAAAGCCGATGTTCTGACAGAGATTCAGGCCTACAGCTCCCAATCAAAACCAGGAGCACGTGAAAAGAACAGGAGCCTGAAATAACAGAGGGAGTCTTCTGAGAGCAGACGCCCTATCCACAGCAGGCCCATGTGTTATGTCTGAGGGAGCTTCAGTCATGTCTGAGGGGGCAAATTTTCATTTTGGGGTCCTCCTATCACATACATATACTCAATGCTTTTATTTTATAGCAACATTCCAGGTGGGGCAATGAACTCACAAGGGAGGATTTTCTCAGTGAGTTCATCAAAAGGATCACTTCTGGGAGGGTTTGCCTTCAGATTAGCTGTAGTGGGGAGACCAGGCCCTGGGAGCCCACCCCTGAGGCAAGGCTTTCCTTTCACTTCCATTTTAAGTCCCCGAGTCAGTTTTTAAAATGCTGCCTTCAAGGACTGCAGAATGAACAGGTCCTCTGGCCCCCAGGACAATATCACATTTACAGGGCAATTCTTCCCTATACAGAGTCAGTCTCTCTCTCTCTCTCTCTCTCTCTCTCTCTCTCTCTCTCTCTCTCTCTCTCTCTCTCTCTCTCTTATAGTATCACAAATACACCCTATTGCGTGTCCACCATTTCAAATACCTTGCAAACACAGCCACATTCCGAATCCCTCCGGTCTCCCAAGAAACTTGGAGGAGCCAACACATGCCATTTGAATAACAATGAAGTGACAGAACAATTTAATTACCCAAGGTAGCCCCAGGGACTCCAACAAAAGGGCGGAATGCCTTCCTCTACAAAAGTGTAACCACGTGCTCAGCTGTGGGACCAATTAGGGAGAGAGTAGAAGAGAGAGGTGCACAGGTGCCCACGCCAGTTAAGGCAAATCGGGAGTTAGCACCAATCCTCCCAGGAGACGGACCGCGATGAACAAGCGTGGCTTGGAACGCTTCTCTCCTCTATCAGGCTCAAGGTTCAGTTCGCTTTCTTCCCTTTCTGATTCACTGACTGCAGCAGCACTTATATATTTCCGGCGTATAAGACGACCCCCTAATTTTACAGTTAAAACAGGTTTAGGCCTATATTCGCTGTATAAGTACCCCCCACTTCAAAGAAAAGACTTACTTTGCCGTCAAGATCTGCAGGTAATTTTTGTGCAATTTTGGTCTTTTGCCCCCGATTTTTGGTTGCCTTTTTTTTCGTTTCAAAAGTCATCTTATACGCCAGAAAATACGGTACCACAAACAAAACAATGAAACTGTTCTCCCGGCCAAGGCTTCTTACAGGGAATTTAAAATAAGTTCAATGAATGTCAGTAAAAGTTCTTCAGAATCAACAGTCACAGGGGTACTTTCACCACCCAGTGCAAACGTTTAAAATTAGTTCGTTCATTGGATTCACACAGCTTCACCTTGATGTTGTGTTTACCAGCCTCCTTCTATTGATCTTTTCAAGTGACCTTACAATAAAGAACTTTTCCCTTGCTTTGGAGAAAAGGGGCGGGGGGGGGGGAGGTGAACCTTTCTGGAAACCTAAAAAACTCTCAGTTTCCTTAGGCCTTAAGTATTAAATACAGGACCACCACCCCCTCCCCCAACACACACACACACACACACACACACACACACACACACGCACACACGCTGAATAATTGCTAAATCCGCTTCATCAACAGTAAACAGTTTACCTCTGAGTGGCGTGTGTCTCCCCACCACGCGCTCTCTCCAGCACAGGCAGTCATGCCCAGATGGTGACACTGAGCGCAGCAGATAAGGTGTCCTAACAACCGTGTTTGCCTGGGTCCCGGGAAACCCTCGGCCACTCGCACATCACCTGGGTGCATCTCCCCGGGTGCCCCTGAGCCGCAGACCCGGGCGGCCCCGGGACCCCTCCCGCGACGACACGGGGCAAGAGAGACTGACACCCGCAGCTGCCGACGACCCTGCCAGTCACGTTGCCGCCGCCGGCTGCCTTTTTTAGCCGCGACATCTGACCTCAGCTCCAACGGCGGCAGCATTCAGGGAGAGGTCCCAGGGCGAGCCCGCGGTCCCCTCCCCTCCCCACCCCCAGATTGCGCTCAGAGGTCGGGACAGAGGAGAGGGAGGCACCCGCCCTGCAGCGGGCCGGCGAGCGCGCGTCCCCAACCCAGCCTCTCCCTCTCTCTGCTCTCCCCACGGATCCGGTCCCCCCATCGCCGCCTGCACCCGGGCTCCCCCATTTTGCAGCTGGCAGTCGCTCGAGCGCCCTCCCCGCCCCCACCCGGCCACTCCGCTCTGCTGGATCCCCTCCCATCCGCGGCCCGCGCGCTCGGCCCGGCGGGGGCGGGCGGACAGCGGCGGGACGGGGTGCGGGCTCCGGGGACCCCGCACTCACCTCCCTCCTCCGCCCCGCTGTCCGGGTCGGCATCCGAGGAGTCGGGCCCGTCCCCATAGTCCGCCAGCCCCACCAGCTCATCCTCCTCGTCGTCGTCCCCGTCTTCCAGCTGCGGCTTCCCCAGCACCTGGCTCATCGGGCCCACCGTGCGGGGCCGGGGGCGGCGAGCTCCGGGCCGGGGGCTCAGCCTCCTCCGGGCCGATCGCAGCCGATCTGAATGGGGGTTTTGTCTGGAGCGAGCGTGGCGGGAGCCGGCGGGGGCGGGGCGGGGGCTCAGTCCCCCCTGCGGGCGGGTGGCCTCCGGTCCGGGTCCGGGTCCGGCTCTCTGCGCGCCGAGCCCCCTCGCAGCCCCTCCCGCCGGCCGGCGGAGGACTCAGCCGGAGCGCGGCAGTTCCTCCCCGAGGAGGGAGGGAGACTGCGTGACCCGAGTCACCTGACACACACTGTCACACACACTCTCTCTCACACACACACACACACACACACACACACACACACACACACACACTCACACACACATGCACACACGCCCCGCACGGGTGCGCGCGCGTCCTCCCGGGCGCAGGCACCGCTGGGCTGGCGCGGGGCTGAGGACTCTCTCTCTCTCTCTCTCTCTCTCTCTCTCTCTCTCTCTCTCACACACACACACACACACACACACACACACACACACACACACACAGACTCTGGGGGCGGGGGGAAGGAGCAAGACGGCGCCGGCCCCCCGCCCCCCCCCTCCGCCCCCAGAAAGCGCACACGGACACTAGCGGGGTGCTCCCGGGCCCGGGTGCAGGCACCCACCACGGCTGCGCGCCAGAGCCCCCCACGCGCTGCTTCTGCACGTGGTCCCCGCACCGGCGAGCGAGCTGGGGGCCTGCACACCCGAGAACCTCCCCTCCACCCCCCTCTGACACACACTCCCTGCTTTGGGCAGCCATGGCCAGCTTCTGATCCTTGGGGAGGGCTCTCGGGAGTCCCAAGTGTCCCCCTGGCACTGCTGTGCCTGGGTTCCCACCCGCAGCATCGTTCCTGGGACACCCTGTGGATGCTGAAGCGCCCCAAGGAGAAAACTCTTGGAGAAATGCATCACAGAGGCACAGTCTCCGACGCAATTGCCTTTTCGGTGTGTCTTCATGGTTCAAAGCGCTTCCCAGCAAGAATATTAAAAAATCAGGCCTCCCCAGATGTAAATGTTTCTGAACAAAATAACATGCCTCTTGGCTGCCTAGGCTGAATAATTCCTCTGCGTTTGGGAAAGGCTGAGGTATAACACACTCAGGGGCTACTCATGTTCATCTCCTCCTGTCTCATTGCATAGACTAAAATCTCCTATTAAATGTCTCAAGGCTTTTGTGTGGTTGGGGAGGCGGTGTCTGCGTGGGGGAAGGAGAGGGGGAGACAATTCTCATAGATTAGAATAGCAACACTGTGGGGGTGAAACTGAAGCCTGCATTCCTCCACAAGCTTTTCATCACAGGACATAGTGCACCCACCCTTTCTGGATACCACACACACACACACACACACACACACACACATCACGTGAATGAGCTTCCTCTGTCAAGAACAATAAGAAATAAATCCAGCTGGCTGGCATGGTGATTCAGATCCTACAGGTGCCAGCAGCTCCTCAGCAGGTGGTGTGGGGGAGGAGAAGAGGAAGAAGGGAGCTGAGGCCGAGGCTCTTGGAGTCCAAGGGTGCTGAAGGGAACATCTGTTGAGTACCTACTGTGTGTGGGGGGATGGAGGGGGGGTAAGATCCCTTGATGCTCAGAACAATGTTCCTGCCATGGAAGAGCCCGCAGCCTAGCAAATTATGACTCATGCTCTGGATTTTGTATTGGCTGTGAGCATTAAAGATGGATACAAACACCTTCTAGGAGGCGGCTGCTTTTTATTGGAAAGGTTTTCAGATTTTCCAGGTGGAGTAGTATAAGTTGGTATGACTGGATCGACCAAGATCCTCCCCAGGAGGAAAATAGATGGCACATGCAAAGATTTCAACTTACAAAGCTTTCTGTGAAGGGACCATTTACAGGGGTGTGGACAGAGTTTATGGAATCAGCCAGAGCTTAGCTACAGTGGGAAGAGATAATCATGCTTTAAATTAGTAGGAGGAAGGAAAGGCACTAGAGTCCTGGAGAAGGGACACAAAATGGGAGCTGCAGCTGATGAGGAGGCTGCCAATACCAGAGCCATCTCACATAGAAGAGAAGCAGTGGGAAGAAATTCTCTCCGCTCCCACCCTCCATTCTCCTGGAAGTGCCTCCCACAGGCGAAACCCAACTGGAAGGACACAGAGATTGGCGAGGGAGGGCAGAAAGTGGGCCCAAGGGCCTGGCTGGCATGGCTCAGCGGGTGAGCATTGGCCGATGAACCAGGAGGTCACGGTTCGATTCCCTGACAGGGCACATGGTCTAGTTGCTGGGCATACTCAGTTTGGCACATACTCAGTTTGGCACATACTCAGTTTGGCACATACTCAGTTTGCCGCTGTGGGCTCAGTCCCCAATGAGGGTGGTGCAGAAGGCAGCCAATTCGATGTTTCTATCTCTCTATCCCTCCCCCTTCCTCTCTCTAAAATCAATAAAATATATTTTTTAAAAAGAGAGAGGGTCTAAGGGTTGGGCAGGTAGGGTGGGGGCAAACAATGTAACCAACCAGCACAAGCAGGCTCTGCTTGCTCATAAGAGGAAGTTACTCCAGGGGTCACTTTCCTGGTCCATTTTCACTCATCCTGTGAAAGGAAGGCCCCAAGAGGAAGGGCTCTCTCAGAGTGGGTTTTAAGACTTTCAGCTATCCCAGAACAAGCACACCAGCCTAGCGCAAGGCCTTTGAGCTACCAAGGACTACTTACGGGGCCCTAGAAGCCAGTCCAAGGTCAGCCCAGACCATAAGGCATCCCTGGCTGGTTGCCAAGTGTGTGGGCCCCAGGACCGCAGGGGTTCAAGATGGGACAATTTCTAAGCCAAAGTCCCAGGAAGAACAGAGATAGCTGATGATCCTCTGCCTTTGCCAAGAAGGAAGAACTTAGAGGGAAATATCAACAACAGATTGGAGCACACCCTAAGATATCTGAGAATTGCACCATTCTTGAGAAAATAAGGGAACAAACCCACAAAAAAAAAGTAATAAAATCCAAATCCTCATCAATGTTCCACCTCAAGGTATATAAAAGAGTCACAGACAAGTTTCAGAGTTTCTAATTCACTGTCGTTTCAGAAATGTATGATATTGATAAAGTTGGAGCAAACGGAAGAGGAAGGATCTATTACTTTTCTTTTGCTGTTATTTCAATACTGTCAGTTTTCAAATTAGGGATATGTTTTAAAATATCTTAGAAATAAAAGTTCTTAAATTTAAGAAGTCATGTATGTGGAGTCTTTCAGAATTTAAATAAAAATAGAAAACTACTACAAATGGAAAACCTTTTGGAAACAGTATAGAATCTGCTCAGTAAATTGGTTATGGCATTGGCCACTCGCTGGCCTGAACTTTGGCAATGTCTGTGATGTCTCTTGAGGGGAGTGGGCTCAAGAATGTGAGGATTGCCCGGACCAGTGTGGCTCAATTGGTTGGGCATTGTCCCAGGCACTAAAAGGTTGCTGGTTCCATTTCCAGTCAGGGCATATGCCCACCCCAGTAGGGGGCCTGCAGGAGGTAACTGACTGATGTCTCTTTCTCTCTCCCTTCCGCTCTCTCTAAAAATCAAAAAAAAAAAAAAAATGTGAGGATTTATCTATGGGCTACTCATGGTCTTTGCTGTTGTATGTGACCATGGCAGGGTGATATACACATACATAATAGGTATTTAATAAGTATTTATAGAATGAATGAAAGATAGTACATGCCAGCTTTCTACACAGAGCTGGATGTTAATTGATTTTGAGAATAAGAGAGAGGGAGGGAGATAGAGAAAAAGAAAGAGAGAGAGAGAGAGAAGCATTGATTGGCTGCTTCTGGCATACACCCCAACTAGGGATCAAACTCACAACCCAGGCATATGCCTTGACTGGGAATCGAACCAGCAACCTTTAGGTGCATGGGGCAATGCCCAACCAATTGAGCCACACTGGCCAGGGCCAGATCTGGTTTGTTTTTAAGAGAAACTTTAGGAAGATACATAAGCTAAATTTTCCACTTATTCTAAACCCTGGGAAATGCTTACTCAGTGAGATAAATACGAATTGTGAGCTACTAGAGTACAACCAATGAGCAGCCTTGCAAGAGATGATGTCTCTTAAGCCTTCATCCCTTCAGTACCGCCTGAAGACTTGAAGGAATTACAATATGACTTTTAAATGCTTACTTTATTTTTACCAACTCCTTCTTCTAAAAAACTTAACTTTTAGAAATATTTTGTGATATCATGAAAGATGAGCTTTGTCTATTGCCCATTATAATTTTTGTTGTTGTTAATGTTTATCCTCACCTGTGGTTATTTTTCCATTGATTTTTCAAGGAAAGTGGAAAAGGGAGAAGGTAGAGAATCATCGATTTGAAAGAGAGACTTCTAGTGATTGCCTCCCAAATGCATCCTGGGGCCAGGAATCAAACCAGAAACCCAGGTACGTACCCTTGACCACGAATCGAACCCACGACCCTTCAGTGTGCAGGCTATGCTCTAACCACTTAATGACACCTGCCGGGGTGCCCATTATAACTTAACAAACTTAATGTGTACTAAGATTTTCCATGAATAAGGTCCTGTTCCAAAATACTATAAATTTCAAAATATCCCATTAAGTGATATTATAGTCCTTACTTTACAGAAGAAAACGAGTTAAATAATTTGCACAAGGTAACATATAAGAGTGGATGATGAAACTACTTTGGAATTCAGTCAGACATTAGGCATTATTCCCAAGGCTAACGTCAGTTACCTTATAGCCATTGAACTGGAAAGGGGGGGAGGGAGTGAAGAGCTTATTCCCAATCTCTTAGAAAGAGTGGGCTCAAGCATGGGAGGACTGTCCTGGCCAGTGTGGCTCAGTTGGTTGGGCATTGTCTGATGCACTGAAAGGTTGCATAAATAGTCAGTGATTGATATCATTTCTTTTATTAGGAACACAAATAGCAAGGGATTTAGTATCCTTTCTGGATTATGTGACTGTCTTGCACTATATGCTGAGCTAA